TGGAGTGATCTTGAAAACCATAAACAATATAACTTTTTGTATTAAGTTTAGAACCAAGAAAAATTTTGGGCTTGGCTCAAGAATCCAACTTTTTTCTATTAGCAACAATGGTGCTAACATAACACAAACATTCAAACATGTGTACTTGATCTAGATAAAAAATGGAGTTATGTAGTTTTTCAAAAGGAGAAAAATCTTTAAGAAAGGGAGTAGGCACGTAGTTTATCAAAAGAACAACATAATTAATCTCATATTAATTCCAAAATTTCAAAGAGATATTGGATTGAAAGGTTAAAGCACGAGTGACATTTAAAATTTATTAATGTTTTCTTTCTACAATACTATTTTGTTGAGACATTTCAATGCAACTAGTTTGATGACTAATTCCTTCAGAATTGTAAAAATTCTTCATGTAAAATTCAACATCATTATCATATCTTATGATTTTAACAGTTTTCCAAACTAAGTGTTTACATAGGTTATGAAATTAACTAGATGCAAACAAGTTTCAAATTTATTTTCCATAAGAAAATTCCATGTGGAATATGTGTGATCATCCATAATTGTTAAGAAATAATTTTCACCATTTAAAGATGTTTTGGAGTAAGGACCCCAAATGTCTACATGAATTAAGTCAAAGGAATAACAGGAATGAGAAACATTGTTAGGAAAATGAGACTTTTTCTGCTTGACCTAATGACAAATATAACAAAAAACACTATCACTATATTCTATACAGGGATGTTTCTTTTTCAAAGCAATGAGTCTACCAATACAGAGAGATGATCGAGCCTAATGCGCTAAAGATTATTTTTAACATAATCATAATGAGCAACATTAAAAATTCCAAAATGTATAAAAGCACTAAGAATGTAAATGCCAACTTTATGTTCAGCTAAACCAATCTTCACGTTGGTTTTCTGTTCTTAATGACACAACAATCAAAAGTGAAAATAATTTAAAAATTTAACACAGAAACAAGTTTGGAATTAGAAACCAACTTATAGACAAAATTAGGAATATACGAATCCATTAGGCAAATCAACATATATGGGTTGTATATTATTATAAGTGATGAAATTTTCTCGAGATGAACTTATGTGACCAATGACCTAGAATCTAAAATCCAAATAGATTTAGTTTCATTGTTCAAAGTAGATTAAGAAATAAAACGATTACTTGTTTGTGTATTGCAAAAAGTGATTGATCCGACTTGATTAACCAAGAAGGTTTTATTTCTTTTGGTTTTATATTGTTGAAAGATCTTAATAAGGGTTTGATATTAACGTTTGAGAAAGGCGGACTTCTTGCTCTTCATGACCTTTTTCAAAAATTTGTTTATTTTCTTCCTTTCTTTAGTACTATTGATAGAATTGATCTTTATATTAAAACCTTTATATCCGAAAGGTAACAATGCTTCTTGTAGCTGTTGTTAATGGTATATTCATTCTTTTCACAGTGTGTGCAAATTATTTTGTTTTGTAATCCTTTACTTTCATGATTTGGGGAAAACCATGCTTTCTATAGCATACAAATTTTGTATGTCCCTTCCTCCCACAAAAAAACACAAGCAAAAACATTTGTAATATTTATTTTAATTTCAGAACTAGTAATAAAGGAGTTAGCTTCTCTTGTTAAACAATATAAGAAAATATTTTTGAAATAAATGGAATTGGGTCCATTAGAAGAATATGAGATCTCACATTATTGTACTGATCATTGACACCTCTCGTAAATTGCATTACTCAGTCCTTAACTTTTCTCTGCGTGATCAAACTCAAAACATTGCAAGAAAAATTTTCTGTTGGGTCTTTCTGAGGTGAATTCAATAGGGGAGAAACACACCAATGAGACAAGAGTCCAACCCACATAAGGATTGACACCATGCTCAACCCAAAATCTTACAGTATTAGGTTATGGATCTTATTTTTTTATGTGTTGCTCAACTTTCTCATTCTTACTCAATGTGAGACTTAAACTCACTTGAATTTTCCAACAATCTTTCCCTCAAGTGTGAATTTCTCCACATTGGTACATCCTCTCAAGCATACTAGTAGTCTTTTCATGTACCGTCGTTCATCATAACGAAACACGCTTATCTGATCCACTGTTAGGAAGACTTTCAATACAAATATCACTCTTAAACTATTGATTAACCTTCGATTTTGATACCACTTATTGGGTCTTTCCGAGGGAAGATTCAACAGGGGAGAAACACACCCATGAAACAAGAACCCAACCCATATAAGGATTGACACCACTCTCAACCCAAAACCTTAAGGTTTTAGGTTGAGAGTGATGTCAATATCTTATGTGCATTTGACTCATCTCTCATTGATGTTGTCTCTCTCCTGTTGAATCCTCCCTCGAAAGACCCAACAAATGATATTAGAGCTGAATGTTAATCAACATTTTAAGAGTGATCTTTGTATCGAAAATCTTCTTGATAATGTGTCAGGTAAGAGCGTGTCCTGTTATGATGAATGACGATACATGGAAAGATCACTAGTGAGCTCAATGAGATGTACCTGTTGGAAAATTAATAATAAATATACTGATTTTGATTCTAACGATCAAACATAAACGTAATCCCATACTGATAAACATGCTGTAAACTGAATGCGAAAACGTACCTGAATTAACCATAACGTTGATGTCTTTGTAGAGCATTATATTGATCTTATGGTCTTCCACCTGAAGAGTACCTGTATTTTTCTCTTAATTTTCTCTCTTGATGGGGATAGAAAGAAAGGAACGGGACTGATACTTACGTTCTGTGTGTGTGCTCCCAGAAGGGACCATGACCCTTTAGATAACCAGAATTAGGTTAATTACTTAAGTTTTAGTATTTCCAATTTGGCCCCTCATCAAATTAAAAATTGCTCTATGGTCTCTACACAATTTTATTTTCAAGAGATATGTCTTTAGCCAAAACTTTAATTTAGTCAAATCACTTTATTATTTGGCTTAATAAATAATGAGCCTAACACATTTAAATTATGTATCATATATATACATGACCCAAATTTTGCCAACAGTACCAATGTGGAAGAATTCACACTTAAGAGATAGATTGTTCGGTAATGCAAATTTGATTCTAAGTCTCACATTGAGTAAGAATGAGAAAATTGAGCAACATATAAGTAAAAAAGACCCATAACCCAATATCTTAAGGTTTTGGGTTGAGAGTGGTATCAATATTTGGATTAGACTCATATCTCATTGGTATGTTTCTCCCCTGTTGAATCCCCCCTCAGAAAGATCCAACACGGGGTTAGGTATCCATGCTTGAGAGAAGATGCCTCCATTTAGAGATCGAAAACCCTTAGTAAGTCACCTCAAAAGAACCTTGACTTTAAATCTTTCCAGACATCTTTGACTTTTTCCATCCATAGGATACTTTGTCTTATGTGAGGAAAGATAAAATGGACCAACCAAGAGACCACCACATTATTACACCTCTTTCAGAGAACCTCCTTGCTCATGATGAAAGGAGAAAAGAAAAAAAAAACAAAGAAAGAGAAAGAATGAAAACAAATAAAAAGAATCAAAGATAGCACAATAGAGCTCTTTGAAGAGCTCTAATACCATTTGGAAATTCTTCATGCAACAAAGAAAGATGACAAAGAAAGGAAACCAATAATGAACTAAAATGATGAGAATAAGAAAAAAGGGAAAAGAGAAGAGAGAAGGAAACAAATTTGCATGGAACAAGGCAGGGAGAAGAAAAAGACTTTTATAAACTCGTAGAAAAAAAATTGTGTTACAAGGAATTCACTGAAGAGGGGTATATATAAAGAGAAAAATAAAAACAAAAATAACATAAAATAATTGATAAAACCGTTGTGAGGCGTTGAACTAAAACAAGTGTGCTCAAGCATAAAGGAGAAGAAAACCAACGCTTAAGTGAGAGTGAGAAAATCAATGACTATGATTAATCTTCAGAGTCAATAATTTTGAATTTCTAATAATGACAACGGTTTTTTCGATGACAAAATCAAAATATATCAAAAAAACACTAAAAAACTTTAATTTCTTGTTTACCACAACAAATATTAATTTTCTCAATAAGTGTTTTCCCCATAACAAATGTTAATTTTCTCAATAAGTGTTTTCCTATCACATTCTCTTAATATTTGATTTAATAATTTTGTGCTAGAAATTAAATACATATTTTGTTATAATACTTGACAAATTATAAGTAATTTTCATAATTTCTACCGTAACATGTAAAATGAAGACATGACTTTTAAGATTTAATAACATAAATAATATCACCTTGTTGAAAATATGTGGATCTGTTAATAGTTAAATGTTCAATAATTGAATTTGTTACATTAACTACATATATTCAATTAAGATGAGAACTTTATATAATATCTCAAGTTTTTTTATAATTTAATAATCTAAAATATTATTTCATTTAATTTTTAAATTGCAAGAAATTAAATGATATTTTTTAATTTTAAACAAATAAATTCCTTCTTTATATATATATATATATATATATTATAAACTTAAATTATATAAAATAAATATTTATTATACACTATACAACTTAAAATAATAATTAAATATATAAATAGATATAAAAAGTGTAAAATTTATATATTAATTTTAATTTATAATATAAATTTTTAAAGGTTAAATTTAATCTAAACAGTTATTATCCAAATTGAACAAATTACTGATTTATCTTCTATGCGAAGCAAATGGATTCAAAATCCAATACAGAATAATAAATACTAGAATTGTGATGTTGTTTGTTACCTCATTGTGTCGTGTGTATGTTGTTGGTACCTAAAAGCTATCGAACGAGAAGAGTAGTGTAGTCCTTCTCTTTCATTCTAAACGACGAGTGTAATCTTTAATCTAACGACTTGACTCACACGCACTTTGATCCTTCCTTCCTTCGTTTTTTCGGAACCGTGCAAGAGAGAGAGCGAGAGTTTGATTCGTCGTCTGGAAGCGTGTGGCAGTGACATTCCTCTCCGGAGACGATGACCATCGACTTGGATTCCGTCGCTCGCAAAGTCGACGTTGATAATCGCATTCCCCTCCGCTATTACTATCGGATTGCCGATAACCTCCTCAAGCAGGTAAATCGCTCCGTCAATTTTGATTCTAAATGCTCTTTCCTTCATCCTTGATTTCATTAGGGCTTTGTAAGATTATCGTCAGTGGAACCTTCTCCAACCGCAATATAGGATCCTTTTCGTTTTCGTTTATTAGCTCGTAGAAACTCTCTATCAGCGTTTCGGTACCCACAATTAACGACAATTCTTGTTATTTAGGATCAGTTTAACAAGCTCGCTTCTAGCCCTAGTTATAATCCATCAACTATACAATACTTAATTAATACGTGTTTATGTGACTATAACTGGTTCTCAATCTGTTATAAATCTATATAAAATTATAGAGCAAAAAATAAATAATAACGAATCAGTATATGATGTGTATGTTAGTCGCATAGATGGAATTGAGAATGCTCGTGAATGCTTGTGCTTTGGATCGTGCCTTCGTACACAATATCGAAACTATTTGGGAATATATGTGGTTGCTACCTTCATTATGCTACCCTGCGCTAGAACTAGTTCTGAGTTTTGTGTGGAAGTAGAACAGTTTGAACTTTGATGTAAATATGTAGCTGTTGTCGTTATTACTTAATTTTGTTTTTGTCTGCAGGCAAGTATCTACAGGGAGGAGAATAACGTAGTTGACTTGTACATCATTCTCCTTAGATTTTCAAGGTAAAATATGGATGTTTCATTGATTTTCTTAACGGTGGAATTGTTACTTTGCAGTTAATTTGAGTTTAATATTTTTCATATTTGCCTCTTTGTTCCTATTTTTGGTATAATTTTCTAGTTTGGTTTCTGAAACTATACCATATCATCGAGATTATCAAGCTACACTGCCCAATGAAAGAGCAGCTAATAAGAAGGTGAGAAGTTGCCATGCCACTATTTATAGTAGATGTGTGTGTGTGTTTGTTTTAGTTTTTATTTGATATCTGGTCCTGTTCTCCGTTTTTATCACTATTCTACCACAGAGATCACGAGCCGTATTGGATGAGCTTGAATCTTTGAAGCCTGAATTTAAACGCCGGGTCAAAAAATTGAAAGACTTGCATGTTAAAGCTCCATTGCCTGAGGAAAATGGCTGCAATAAGGCTTTGCAGAGTTCAGTAAATTCATCTTTGGAATGGTCGGCTGTCAATAAAAGTAATAACTTGAGCATGGATTTTAAACAGGTGAGGACTCAAATATAATGTTTTTAGTATAAATTTATGGATACTGAAAATTCTCAATTTGCATCCGTGCCATGGTATCTCAACTAGGTACAACACGAAATGCTATAAAATTTTCGTTTTAGGATTTTCTTATTGTTTACTTATTGCTTTTGTTCATCAAAATGCCTTGGTGAAGAAGTAGTATAAACTACACAAAACTTCCAATTTTAATGTTCTAATATGCTTGAAATGTAGTTCATATTGTTTACTGGTGCCAACTCTTTTTTTCCTGACATATCTGCAGACTGCTGGATTCGGGTCACACTCGTCATGGAATTATAATAATATGTTCTCATCAGATTCCAGGCCTATTGACAAGCACTTTCAGAAACTGTAAGTTATTCTACCTATTCATATTCTACTATTTTGGTCTTTCTCCAATTTTCACGAGGTCTACTAATAAGAGCAAATCAATTTTATGAGTGGATTTTGCTCATTCTGGGAGATAAGTACATGTTCATGAGATAAATACATGTTCATGAAAAATTTGAATTTTATGTTTACCACTTTCATAGCTTAGTGGATCAAATTCTAATGATTTATTCATAAGTTGTGGTTGGTTAAATACTATTCCGATTACTAATGTCATTTTCATTCAGCACACTTTAGTAGGTGACACGCTTTTGTTTGTCATTAGAATATAATTTTCTTATTATTCTTGTGATTTGAGGAGGTTCTTGAACATCCACATATATTTCTAATGAAAAAAAAAATGCTGCAATATTGAAAGAAGAGTTGTGATAATTATTCTTTTGACTGTGCAGATCTCTTAGTCTACCTGCTCCAAATAAGGAGACTTTGTCTAGACACTCATTTTTAGGACCAAATGGCCTTCGGGGCCAATGGCTTGGACCTAGCGCAGAAATAAAGGTAGAATTGAAGTGTGGCTTTCTTGTGCTGTGTTAACATGGATTATCTATCTGATATTTGTTGAAATTGTAGGTTCTAGGTATAGAGGGGGCAAAACAGATAATAGATATTGAATGCTCTAAAGTTGATGTTGACTGGATATGATGTTATTTATTACAAAACATATCAGTTATAAAGCTAAATACTATTAGAAGACTCAGTGCTAGTTAAATGAGGAAATAAATTGTGATATATAAGGAAATATGGGAATCAAGCTAAGGAGATAATTTGAGATATTTTTCATGTAGTCTAACAATAAAGATATTCGATATTGTCCAGGTTCAATATCCAAGCAGTAGTGACCTCACACATGCCAAGGATTCAAGGTTTGACTCTCATCCCAATTTTTAATTGAGTTCCACGTCCTTTTTATGTTCCATGTTCGTGAATTTTTGTTGTACAATTGCATAATTCTCATGTTCTTACTCTTTATTATTCTTCAGGTCAATTTCTCTGTCAATTACAATTAGTATTCTTCTAAAAATATTATTGTTATTTCCCCTCTCGTTAATATGCTTTTTCTCATTGTGATTTTTTAATGGCATCTGACTATGAAAATATGCTGAAATTTGTATGTCAAATATTGTTCTAAGGCATGTTGTGCTTAGTTTTGTAACTCTGAAATATAAACATCCCACACACTTACTGTTTTTTGTTGTTCACACTGATAGCCTGCATCAGACTGGGCTATATGACATTGTGGCAATTAAAGATGATGATCAAGAACCAGTTGTATCCACAATGGAGTCAGTTCTCTCCTTGGATGATGGAAGATGGTTGCGTCCTTCTATTGAGTCCAGTTCTTCTGTTGAAACTGAAACAAGGGAGGACCCCTTACAATTTCTCAACATCAGGCAACCTATGCCCCCTCCTGTTCTTGCACAGGTGCACCCGGAATGTGCCCATATTCCCCCTTCAAAAGTTGCAGATCCAAGGCCAGGACCAGCTAAATCTTCTCATGATTCTGGACTTGATACAACAACATATCAACACCTACATATTGTAAGCATTTTTTAGTTTTCTGGATGAAGTTTGTGACATATATCTTGGATTTTGTCAACCGGAACTGTTTTTATTTGTGTTGGCTTTGGCTCTTTAGTTCTTATACTGGGTAAAAGTTATAATACTTTCTCTTTATGTTGCAGCCTGTCAAAATGATGGAAGATTTTTTGAGATTAGCTTCACAAAACACTATGAAGAACTTAGAGACATGTGGTGTTCTTGCAGGGTCCTTGGTAAGAGATGTTATTTTTGTGCTTCCTAGTTCTAGAAAATCTCTTGGTTGGTGATTTAACAGTTATCTGTGCTTGCAATTTGGATGGCTCTAGAAAAAAAGGGTATTCCATATCACGACACTTATAATCCCAAAGCAGGAATCAACTTCGGACTCGGTAAGATAATGTCATATTTGTCCTTTTTAATTTATTTTACAAGCTATTATACTCTGAGACATCGTCTCTAATCCTTTGTTATTCCATGGTTAAAAAGCTTCAGTTTTTGCATTTATCTTACTCCAACTGTATTCCGACAGACAAAATACCTGCTAAGCATAGCAGAAAGGATGAGAAGGGTATATGGTTGGTTGGGTTGGGAGAAATGCAAAGAGAAAAGTAAGTAGAAGGTTGGCATAATTTGAGTTATGGATTAGGCCCTAGGGCAGGGAGGAAGTAAATACTCAAAAGTTTTACTGTGTTTCCATTTCCTGGGATTATCTTAATTTTTTAATCAAATACCTGGATTTATGTCAATTTTTAATCAAATACCTGGGTTTCTATCAGACTGTAAAAGGACATGCTGCTTATAGTCACTAAAAATAGAAAAAGGTACAATTCATAATTGCAAGCATACTGTTAATAGACGTGTGAACTCCAAATGTCATTTCAGTCCCTGAGATTTAATCCTTCATTAGTCTCTAACTTTGGAAAATGTCAATTCACTTCAGTCCTTTTTTTTGGTGCAAAATGACACTGGAAAATAAAGTAAAAAAAAAACTAAATTGAATTACTTTTTTGTTTTTGCAAATTTTATGACTGAAATGCCCAACTTACTAATCGTGAGAACTAACTAATTTAATATTAATAGATCTAGCACATTAACAAGTACTCATTGGATTTAGGAGATTCAAAGAATTGTAATTTCTCACAGTTCATTGAGGTGTTTTTCTACTGTCTGATGTTATTTTTTATTCAGCAATGGTGCCTCTAATCGAATTTTAATGTCCAGTGTCAAACATTGAACGAAGAAGAAATATTTGAAGTTCAAGACAGATTATCACTTTTTCCTCTAGGTTGGATACATGTAAGTGCTCCACTTATCTTGGCTGTTGATTATTCGTTCTTTTAATTATATTCACGAGTAAATGTTCTTCTACCCTGGGTGGTGACAGCTAAAATCTTGATATGAAGCATTGATTTTTCTGCTTTTGTATATCCAGAATCCTCTGATTTCTAGTTAAAGTAGTTGCCAAAGGAGCTTGTGTTGCTGTCATGTTAGAGTAGTACTAGTAAGGATAAGAGTTATTCATCAATTCTGATAGATTTAGCATTAAACTGGTGACACTTAAATTATTAATTATTTTACTTTATACAGTAATTTCAATACTAATAATATTACTCTTAACAAGAATGCCAGAGTTTTCGAAGAATTTGTGATGGATGTTTGATGAAATAAAGAGGTAGGAGTAGGGACCTCTGACTCCTGTAAGAGTCAAAAGGCATGCCAATTGCCAACTCATTTGGTGAAAGTTGTTGGCAAAAGAATTCTGACCGTCTCATTTTGCATTGAATGTTGCTTTGAGGAAACCAGAAAAATATCGTAAATATATTAATAAAAGAAATTCGTCCTTTGCATTTTTTTTACCTGCTGGGACTTTGGAGTTTAATCTGATGTAAGCTATTTAACAGGGAAAAGAAAAAATAGTAAAAAATTATATGTTACTATTTGGTTCTTGGCAAAGATTTATCTTTTTCTGGTAGTTGTCACGCCCTCTCAAATCTTACCTTTATCTTAAAGATGGCCTTAAGCTATTACTCTATTAATATGATTGAAGATAGCATCCTTTTTCTGTATCTCTTGCCTTTTTATTATTATTATTTCTCTTCTTTTACCCATTTTTAGATTAAAAACTTGAATGTCAGTATTTATCTTATTTCTTTCTTTTTTTCAGACACATCCGTCACAAACTTGTTTCATGTCTTCTGTGGATCTACACACTCATTACTCATACCAGGTAATAGATGGCATTGTAGTTTCAATTTCTGGCTTTTTCACAAGCTAAAATGTTAACCAAATGTACGTGTCGTTTTTATATTTCCTTTTAATTGTACTGATAGAGTGTATATTTGTGGCTTCGTTTCAGATCATGTTACCTGAAGCAATTGCTATTGTCATGGCCCCTACGGATACTACTAGGTAACTTTTATCAGCAATGGTGTATTTTGTCATTATCGTTGCAGATTAGAATTCGAGCTTTTGGGTTTCATTTTACACAATTTTTTCCGAAACGTGGCAGACACTTTAAAATTAATCACATGATCATATAGATTGGACTAGGGAATGATGGGTTTTTAATTCATATATCATGAATAATGCGTTTGTTATAATACTTTAATCTTTATGGTAGAAGCGCAATAGGGTTATTAGATGAATGGACGGAAAATGTATGTTAGCAAGTTGTAACTTGTAAAATCATCTCATAGGCTGACACTGCCTCCAAGTTCCTTCCCCTCCCGCCAAGTCCCAGTCCCTGTAGCTGAACCATTTGCCTTTGATTCTTATGTTATTTGCTTGATAAATATCTTGCAATCACTCTGTCGTCCAGGAACTTTTCATTTCGTCATAATATGTCTTCGCATGTAGCAGCTAACCGATGCCTACTTAGAATTTGTCTATCTGGAGGGGTTGGCCTTTGATATGGAAATGAGAAGTCAAATCCTCTTTTTGAATATGGATATAATATTATAATATAGTTTATTTGAAAAGATATGATTATTATTTTGATTTATTTTGCTATATCACTAATTGGAATTATACATTTATTTTGGCACTGCAGTCCACATGGCATATTTCATTTGTCTGATCCAGGAGGTGTTTCTGTAATTCGAAACTGTCAACAACGTGGATTTCATCCCCATGAGGAGCCTTCGGATGGAAGTCCAATATATGAGCACTGCTCTCACGTCTATATGAACGCCAACTTGAAGTTCGATGTTGTTGACCTTCGAAAGCGATGATTGATTTATTGATGAGTGACGAATGTCTACTGCATCTTTTCTAAGGTGGATTCTTTTGTATTTATGAATTGAGAAGAGAATTACTAATCGCCAATCTCTCCATTTTGTATTATATCTGTGAAGCACTGAAAAGATAGATGTGAATATGTTTACTTTATACCAGGTGAAGAAATTAGAAATGTAACGATTTCATCCATATATGACATTTAGCTAAGTCTTTTAGAAATCTCATACTATAAATGCGGGGCATTTTACTTTCGCACTACTATAAAAAATAAAACATTTAATTCTAATTAATGGTTCGCATTTAATTATAAATTTCCAAAATATGCTTTTATTTTAATTGAAATTAATGAGGTTTTGTCCATTCACTTACATTCTCTGCATAGTTTTCTTTCTCTAAAATTAACCCTTTAAAGTGGTTTATATGGTGAATGTGTATTTATTATTGATTTTAATTAAACTACTTTGTAAATTTAATTATCTGTGTCATCAAATAAAATTTGTTTTTACTTTTTATATTTTTTACTCTTGAGAATATAATTTGTTTGTTTTTGAAATATAGGCTTATCATTTTGTTTCAGATATAGACTAAGTAATATAAATTACAATTTTTAAAGTTTAGCTAAAATTATAGATTGAGAAATAAGAATTAGGTTAATTATGATTTTGTCCCTCAAAATTTGGCTAATTTAATTTCGGTCACTCAAATTAAAAAATATTTTTTAGTCACTTAAAATTGGAAAATTAAAAACATAATCCTCAGCATTAAACTTGAGGAAGTTAAAATACTGTTAAACTTCAAATCTTAACTTAAAAATTTCCTAAGCTCTTTAATTTTTACTGGTCCATCATATTTAATCATTTTTTTTATTCTGAGATATTAAAAAAAAAATCTAGGAGACCAAGAATTACCTTAAATTTTTAGATACTAAAAATCATACTTAAATCTAAGAATTAAAAATTATATAAAAACTATTAAAAGTTTCTAGTACAGTTACAAGTAATTTCAGAGAAAGAAATGTGAAAGTGTGTTTTCATTTGCGGAAGTATTGAAGTGAATATCATAATCTATGTAAAGAAAAACAAATTAAAAATATTTGTAGAAAAATAATAATACAGATAATTTGAACATATAAACGGTTTAGCACACGTGCTTCCTGATAAATATGTTTTGATTCTGTTCTGTACGCAGGTATTTTTAGACACGTGTTTCCTTCCTATATATCTGTATCACTAGATATGCAAGCTTATAGACGTTTCAACTTTTTATTCAACTATTTGGTTATATTTAAATCATTAAATGATTAATATATCTTTGGATATTGTTTTACGATTTGATTATATTTTATTTATTATATATTTATATTTATTAAAATATGATAATAATTTTATATTTAATTTTTCATTGTAAAGTTATTTAATTTATATAGATGAGAATGAAGTTAAAGTTACCAATGTAATAATAATCATAAAAAAAATAACATGTATCTTTATTTAATAATTATTTATTATAAAATAATTAATATCCATTGTAAACATATTTTACATTTTTTGTTTAAATATTTAACAATACGTGTATCATTTAGCATGCGTGTCATATTATAGTATAACACATTGTTCAAGACTTAGAAAGGAAGCATATATATATATATATACATATATATATATATATATATATATATATATATATAAGTGTCTCTAAAAGAAAGTCCAAGATTTATCTCTTTCAAGAAATTACAACAGTTGGCACAGCATCTCTCATTTTTATTTTTATTTTCATAAATACATACAAGAATCAACTTCTTGTCTGTTTAAGGAACTCAATTACTTATGTCAAATTTAATTTGTAAAATATATTTGGTTTTACAATTCTTGATTTATGTGTCCAAATTTGTAAGTATTCGTTAAAGTCCGACGTCAGATAATTTAAAAAGAAAAATGATAAACTAAATAAAGAGCCGTTGAATTTATTAGTGAATATAGATAAAAAGTGCTGCCCCATTCTTTTCCCCTCTGTTAATGATCAAGATAGAAATATATAGAAATATACTCGTAACATTAAATGATAATATTTTCAAATAAAAAAACAATATATTTTTAATATTTTTCAACAAGACAAATTCTCCTAAATTACTCAACTTAAGACTTACACTGTAACACTGGTAGGTAAAGCAAGACACACAGTAATATCTTCATCTTGTTCAAGTAATTGGTAGAGATGCCATGAGGAGGGGCAGGCACACACAGTAATCATAATTCAGTGGGAAAATGCTAAAAATTAAATCTCACAACCATTGATTATAATTGAAGGATTTCAGCAACGAAATCATCAACCAAAGAATCAAATATTTGGTCTTCAACCACTGCACCAAGTTGAAAAGTATCAACCTCAAAATCTAGCCATCGTCCATGTTGGATGCTCATGTCCTTATCTACCAGTTCATCCACCATTGAGTCCCCCATATCCCTCCAACTTGAAATTTCCTTCCACACTTCCCTTGCCAACCATTCATTTCTTCTCACCATTGCAACTCCTTTTGCCCACATTTTGTACCCCCCACCAACACAACATCTACATCTCAAGTCCAAACACTCACGCACACAATCAAATATAACTTTCCTTCTTATTCTACACTCACCACCATCACTCTCAAACCTTCCCCTTCTATTTTCCAACTGGTTGAACAGATGGGGGTTCACAATGTCACGAGCTCTACCAAGAGAAAAGTCCATGTACATCAACTCCACATTACACAATATATCATTCACATAGTCTAACTCCCATGTACTTGATTGTCCAAACTTCATTTGGGAACATGTGCTTGCTTGTTTCTTTAGCATTGTCCTAGCTGATGCTGAATCAAACAAATCTGTATAGCCACTTCCTGAGCGCACGACTTGCTTCCTGAAATTAGATACAGTAATGATCATGGGCATGTACTTTTAGTTTTTAAAAAATTGTTTTCTAGAATAGTTCTACACTACTGAATAATCACTCTCTAATTCAAAATCTGTTAAGTTTTGAAAATTGTTTCCTAATAAAAAAAAGAATAAAAAACAAATGAGGGATGTTTTTTTCATTTTCTTCTTCTATCTTCATCTTGTTCAACATATCCCTCTATTTTCACACTGTTAGATCCCTGTGTCTTATTACACCACTGTTCATCAGTTGTTTGAACAACTTTGTTATGTTTTATTTATAAAACTTAAAGAGTTTATGAAAATATAAAATGGAATGTTCTGATTCATGAAATAACTAATTTTATATTGTCCTATGTTAAGCAGAAAACGATGCTACTTTTACCTCCTCTTTTTGTCTTCTGAACTGGCAGCATTTGCGCTGAATGGAGAGTCACAGCTTTCAGTAGAAAAAGAAGGGTCAAGAACAGACATTGGACTCGGCTGTCCGGAATTGAATAACTCTGCTTCCATAGGATTGATCTTGCACTCGTCCACCTTATCAAGCTGTAAAAATATAAGGAATATCATGCCTAATTGTAGTTTTGAGCATATCTTATTCTAACAACCCAAATTCAGTTGCAGATTAACTGCATAAAAAAATAGCCAATTGTGATTTGAGTTAATTAACAAGCCTTTTTCTTCTTAGGAAATGGGGAATCAATTAATCTTCCCCAAATTTAACCACTAAGTAAGCAAACCTAACTTCTCATAGTGTGGAAATTTAACTAGGGTCCTGATATTGTTCATACATGCTTGAAAAAGGATAATAACAACAAAAGCTAAAACATTCTCACATACCCGAAGCCTATTCTTGGATGATAAGTCAGGAAGACAAGTGAAGGAATTGTCACATTCCCAGTTACTGAATAACTTATCTGTCAACATAATGTCTTGATCTTTCTTCTGTTCCAACCGTGGAAAGAGGTTAACTGAATTAAGGGTGGGAACCAGATCTTTTGATTTTGGTGCAGTACTGGAAGGTGACCTTGCTTTGAGCGAGCCATCACAAGATTTCCCAACTCCATATGTTAACTCCCTCAACTTCTGATCCAAAAGAATACCCAAGGCATCACCACCGATTGCATTGTATCCTACTGGAGACCGTGCACTATCAGTTTCTGTATCAATCAACGCTCTTCTAATATGCTGATCCAATGAATTTAGGCCAGAAGTCTCAAAACCAGAATTGCTTCTTGTCAACGGCGTGGTAAATGTGAATGAAACTACATCCATGTCTTTCTTTTTGACTTCTTCAGCCCCACCATGGTGTTTATTACTAACTAGATTAGACTGAACAGAGTTCTGTGATTTGTCAATGAATAAATTATCAACATCCCTATCATTCCAGTCCCTGTCTGTAGACCTCTTCTTCCTTGGGAAATTGTTTGTACGAGTATACAAGACTTCCTTTTCACTATCTGTCACGTTCATGGATGATTTTTTGGGCCCGATTTTAGGTTTTGCAATGGATTTATTACTAGAGCTTCTATGACGTCCACTAGAGGAATCCCCAATCACAACTTTTCTACCATGTGAATTGGAAACCAATGGCTTTGATGCCAGCTTGTCTTTATCCATTGAACAATTCTGTTTCTGATTATTCTGCCTGAGAACACCAGAAGCATCTTGTCCAGAAGATTTCTTGTGCAAACTCTTCTTAACATTAGGCTTCAGAGGCTGCTGGGGGGTTTTAGTGTCACATTGTTCTATATGCTCCACCAAACTTTTTCCACTACTAAAACTCAAGCCTTCCCTTCTTTGAACATTCACTTTTGCCTGGATTGCAAGTGATAGAGACTTCCCTTTATTTTTCGAAAAAGAATCTTCTTCTACTTGAGTAGATGATCTGACAGGTGTATCCACAGATCCATTCCCACTTTTGTTCAAAGATTGTTGTCCCTTTAGATATTTGGCATCATTAGAGTCAGTCAACCTTTGAGAAGATTCATAATGCTTACTAGTTCTAAGAGAAGTTTCTCTTTTTCCTTTTGTATCTCTAACTGTAGAGGTCAGTGAAGATGAACCAAGTAGTTGTCCCTTCTGTGAAGCCTCCACTTTTTCTTTAAGGTCTCTAACCCTCAACGATACTGTTGATGATGTTACCAGAGGTGTTTTAGCCTTTGGAGCAACTTGGCGGCTAGGTTCAATAATTCTTGCTGCAGCTTCCATTATGTAAGTAGCATTATTTGATGGAACAAAGCCTGGACCCTTAATTGGGGACAAAAGTTTATGGTGTGTAAGGGGAATAGATTTAGCTGATTTGGGAGGCATTACTTCTGTTTGAAACTTTTCAATCGGCCTGCTACGGGTCTGCAGAGGCATTGCCTCCATGAAGCTCCTAGAAGTCCCCTCAGTTTTCTCAGCTAACTTTCCAGAATATAGGATCTGATGGTCATGATGATGATTCAGTTTTGTTCTCCAATACTGCACATCTTGAATACATTGGCTGTCAAAGCATGGGGTAGAATATGAATCAGAAAAACTGGAAGAGGGTAATGAATCTAATCCCATGAGCCTGGCAACTACACCAGGGGCCCTTGTTCCAGATACTTCATCGTCTGTAGCAGATGTAGCACAACTATGATCACCACTTTCTCTAATACCTCCCCCCACTCCAATTTCACCATCTTCGTCCACCTGAAAGAATTAAGAAGTAAACGCTAAAGCTTCGTCACAAAATATATAAAATAATAATTGGGAGCACAGTTTATAGTGAGACCAGATAGGGAAGCATCGTTGCCAAGTTTCCATCAACTTTTCTTCTCTGTTTCAAGGATTCTGCAAATGATGAAGAAAAAAGAGACCAAAAGCAAAACACAATGAATAATAGACCAATAAATTTTTATAAAAGTTCTACAATTGACAAGAGACATAAACACTTCTTAAGTTCATCAATATCTAAATAAGCAGTACAGGTACCCGGCAAATCTGACTTGGTTGCAAATAATTTCTTCTTAGATTTTGATGTCCAGTCAAACAATTGGAAAAAACCACCAACGTGTCCACCTTCATTTCTTGGTCCTTCTTTCTCAACTCTCATTTTCAAAGCAGAATTTAATAAACCTTCAAGACATATTAATGAAGAAAATGAAAGGTGATGTTGTTAGTCGAGCAAGAAATATAACCTATAATCTATCTATATTTAAGATGTTTTTGGAGATAGATGGCATGCAATGGGATGGAATAAAAAAGAGCCAAGCGTTTATTATTTTTTGACAAGCAAATGGAGTAATATAAAAAGAGGCATTGAAGAATAGAATAGATTCCATTCCATTCCATTCCGTCCTAGAAATTCAATAATCCAAACAATGACAGTTACTACTGTTTCATTCTATCTCTTTCCATAAACTTAGCAGGAAAGCAGATTCAATCTCAATAGCAACACACCAGGAAACAGATTGAACTAATCAATTATTAACTAATTCAATCTAAACCAAATCATTACTTAAAAATGAAACGAGCAAAATTTCTTAAGTTGATTGTTTAAGTTTCTAAGCAACAGGACACAAGTGGATCAATACTCTGCGATCATCATGATACTAGAGTCAAAACCAATATGTTTTCACTTCTCGGACAATGTAATCTCACACTCTGGATGTTACTCAACTAATAAACTTAAAAGTAACCAATAGCCATATATATTCCAAACTCGATACAACGGATCAAGTAGAACAACCGAAAAATCCTATACTAAATTTGAGCTAAAATAAAGTATAAACAAGTTATTCTTAAAACAAAATTGAATATGAATGGAGAAAAAATAGAAGTTTTTTGCTGATCTTAGATATCTAATAAAACTCGCATCTCTCAATTATCCATAATGGAAAAGGGAAATATCTGCTTGTATACAAGCAATACGGAACTTTCTCAATCCGATTGAAATTCATATCCCATCTATGAAGTGATGTTGTTAACTCTAAAAATCTCATCAATCACAATCACAACAAATAGATACACCAAAAAAGCCAAATTGAGGCCATTTAACAACCAAGAAGTCAAACGCAACAAAACATCACAACTGATACACATGACCGGAAAGTGCATGTGCATCCAACTTGATTAATTATCAACACAGCAGTAGCCAAATAAAAACACAAAAGTTTCAAAAGCCAGTAAAAATAAGGATAATAACCCATGAAAGAAAACGAAGAAAAGAACGAACTTTACGGTGGCATTCGAGTAAGAGCTTACGTTAAGAAGGCGAGATGGATCAACAAAGCATTGGGGGTGTTTGTAAAACTATGAAGCTGTTTGTATTATTGGCATTGGCATACATGGGAAATGGGTAACTGCTTCAAATTTGAGGTGAACTGAAGAAGGAAGTGCCAGCTTCAGTGAGATTGTGCAGTTCAACGTTCTAGTAGTAAATGGAAACAGAAATTAAATGTTTTATATTTCCAAAGAAATATTTGTTTGAAAAAAAAAAAAGAGGCCTTTTCGGCATAATTGAACGTGAGAAAATGGGAAACTTTCTAACGTCTCTCCGCGAGCGATAACATTTCAAATTCCTAACTGGGAAACATGGTCCATTGTTTGACTCACTGCCACGTGTACAACATCTTTGTTTTGTGTTTCATCTTTCAAATTAGGTAACGGATATAAAAATATAATATGATTGGAGAGTTAGAGTGATATATAAACTTTAATTTTTATAATAATATTTACGAAGTTGGATTCTTCTGTTAAAATACTTTATTTTCTCATTTGACTTGTATAAAGTTACTTTTTAAAGAGTAATAACTCAATTTTAAAGTGAGTTATATATTTTTACACAAGTAAAATATTACCTTAAAAATACTTAATATATTTAATGGAGTTTATTTGGAATATTTTTTAACAATAAAATATATTATTTCAATATAAATTTTAAAAACATGAAATCATTTGTATAATTCTTTAAAATAAATTTTTACGAGAGATATTCTTATTAAATATGTTTATCCAACATGATTAAAAAAATTATAAAATTACTATATTTTGCTGATATTTATTTTAATTAAAACTTATAAGTAAACATAAATTAAAAATATTTATTGATTATAAATAGATATACCATAAATACATAACTCTATTAGAAAATAGTATATATAAGAATAAGTTATTATAGTAAATGTTTAAACTATTATAAAGTATTCTTATTTATACTAAAAAAAATTGAATTTTGTATGGATAAAATTGGTTGGTAACTAACAAAATCTGTGGTAGATAAATATTATTGATGGATTATCGACAGGTAGTTGTGTTGTCGGTAAAATTTATTGACGAATTTTGTTTGTTTGTAAGTAATTATTGACAAATATTTTTGTGAAAAATGTCATGGGTAATTATTGACGAATATTTTGGTGGGTAAAGTCTGGTAGGTAATGACTTATCAACGGATATATCCGTCGGTAGTTACCAAAGGTTCCTTCTGTTGATAATTATTGATGGATATATTTTTCTATAATTATCAGTGATATTCTCCAACTATTTACCGATGAATTATCTATCAGTAAATCTGCCGATAAAACTGTTTCTATTTTTAGAGTCATTATATTTTTGTCTCTTCCCATATAACGTGTAAAATGTATAACATTCAATCCATTCAAGAGTCCAATTCAATGATCCAATTCAATAATCCAATTAAACATAAATCTAACTCAACTTAATAACAAGTAAATTCAAATGTACTCTAAATTATGCACAATGAAACATAATGTACAATCCTAAAAAGAAGTTAAAGATACAAGTAGAATTGAAATATTGTTCTATTATTATTTGTATAACATTTAATAGTGAGAATGATCAGGAGAATGATGTTCTAGTATGTTGTCTTTCTGTGATGGGTTATCTTGTTGCTCTTTATTTACTTCATTTTGTTTGGGTTGTTCTTCATTATCTTTTTTGTCATTGTCATTCTCATAAAAAAAGTATACACTCAGTCACACAATAATCGATCCTCTTCACCTTTAATCCCAACTTTGATATTAATCTCTTAGTATCGTAATAAGTTTTTGGCAAATTGTCTTTTATAGGTGTGACATCCAACAACATGCGTGTCATAAAGTCTAAGCATTGATCAGGAAAGAATATTCCAATTTGACTTGCAAGCTAAACGTCTAATACATATTGACAATTTTGAATCTTTTTCCCCCTCAAATAATGGTTTATTTGTCTCTGTCAACAAATTATAAAATCTTTGAATTGCTTCATTTCGTCTTCTATGTTAAGACACTTGAGTCCTTGAAATGATTAGTGTTGCTAGAGAGAATTGTACATCATCTCTTGCATTGACATAAATTGGTCTTGTTCAGTCATGTGTACATCAATACTTGAACCACCAACACAATTATCATCAACATTCTCTTCAACTTCAGGCACACATTCTCCATGATCCATCCAAATCCAATAGTTTGATTTGAACCCTTGCTTGTAAAGGTGAACTTTGACGATTTCATCATTCAAAATTCTTGTACAATCGCATTTGGTGCATGGACATCGAATTCCTCCATCACGTTCGTAATGCTCATATTGTCGAGCAGTTCTAACAAACTCTTCAACCCCTATAACAAAAAACTCTTTCAAACATCTTTTACCACTATAACATCTATCCTACATCCAACTACGATTGAAAGGAATATCGTCCATTATCTGTAACAATGAAAAAATAGGATGAATTGATTTTGAATGTTCACATATTAATTGCAATGTAAAGTTGAAATTGGGGTTTGTATAAATGTAATATAACTTATAGGTGTACTACAAATCAAACTTTAATGTTAAACACAAGTTCATACAATGAATGAACTAAAACTTTTATAAACAATAAGTTATTGTTTAATCATGGTACCACTAATTAAGAAAAAGTAGATGATTGTATCTGCCAACTAATTAAAAACATGTAGTTTGCTGCATGTTGAACTAAATTATAAACATATATACTTATGAATATTCAAATAATTACAAAATTTTCCCAATAAGTAAAAATTGCAGAATAAAATTACACAAAACACCAAAAAAACAGCCTCAATTACAAAATTGTCCCAATAAGCAATTTCATAGATCAATGCAAATATTCATTTCATTCAACACCAAAAATATCTAAATAAGAGACTCCAAAAGCAAAAGAAAGAAATCTGCACAGTTACACATTAATAGAAACTCTCTATCATACCCGACAAACCCACCCATTTAAAACCCCATCAAAATCTTATGAGATATCAAAACCCAAGCACATACTTTGAGATCAGCCAGCGGCCCTAGTCCATAATTAGATAAACAAAACAAAGTAAAATCTAAACCACACAAAAACAAACATCTTGCTCAAAATCTTACATATCTTAATCAATCAAAGACCAAAAGCTCAAAGAGAAATCAAACCAAACCATAAAAAACAAAGATCCTAATCAGAAATCAATCCCATATTAGAATCAGGCAAAACAAAATTCAACAAACATAAAATGAGACAGAAAGCATGGACCCCAGGCATCATCAAGTTCAAGCTCTACAGGGAACCTAACTTGCAACTTCTGCTTTGAACAAAGACTCAACGGTGCCAAGAACGCGTCGATTCCGGTGCGGTGATTAGGTTGGACTAGATAGAGTGGATATGAGCTCACTGCTGCGTGGGTGGCTCACGGTGGTTTCGTTGCAGCTCCGATGAAGGGAGGTGTGGTGGCGTGATTCACGGTGAGGGGGAGAAAATAGTGGCGTAATGGCTCGTGGAGGGGTTAGGGCTGCCACACGCGACTCAGACGCGTCAATTCTGGTGCGGTGGTTAGGTTGGACTATAGAGAGTGGATGGGAGCTTGTCGTTACGTGAGTGACGCACACTAGTTTTGTTAGACAATTGAGATCTAGAAGGTGGATAAATGGAAAAATTAAAATAAATGTCAAATTAAAAATTTATTTATGAGTCAATAATCTGTTAAAACGGAGGTAATAATATAATTAGGAATAGAGAAAGAGATAAGGGAAAGAGAAAAGCACACAGAGATTTATACTAGATCGGGTATAGTCAATCCTATATCCAGTTCTTAGTCAACTCTTAACACAAGAGTGACTCCTCATTCACTATCTTTCAAATTCAGTTTACAAATTACAATCAACTCAACAGAAGAACCAGTAAAAAATAAACTAATTAAAAAGACAATCATCTCCTTAGAAACCCACTAAGAATGAACACCTCCTCTGAATAAATCAAAGGATGAAAAACACCTCCTTAGAATCCCACTAAGGATGAACCCCTCCCTAGAATCACACTAGGGATAAAAAACACATCATTTTCCACCAATGCAAAAAGGATGAAGGTAATAAATATAAGAACAGACACACCTGGGTAATGGAGACAATAAATTGTATAAGTCTGTAGAATGTCAATATCTAAGAACAAGTGTGATTAACAATGAAAGCACAGAAGGCAGTAGAGAAGAGAGTTTTCTCAAAATGTGTAAAATATCTCTGTTGCCTTGTTCAAAATTCTTTTCTCAAAACTGATTGAATGTAAATTGTATTTTCGAATTCTGTAATTGTGTATTTTTTATTTTTCATCAAAATTTAATTAAATAGAAAAATAACATCGAGAAAATGGCCGTTGGACATTAATAATATCATAGAGAAAATCGGGATATATTAAAAAACATGTATTCTTTAAAACGAATATATTTTTCAAATTTGAATTGCCATAATTGATTATATTACCAGGTATAATTAATTATGATAGAGAAAATCATTTTTCTATTTCTGGTGCATCATAATTAATTATGACAGTGAAAAATATCATGTTATGAATTTTATCACACTTGTGCTTTGGAGGCTTATGTATAATATGACTTCATCAACTTGTACCTCCTTATCTAGTATTCTAGGACTCTATCTAGTCTTCAGGAATCATCTTGGGCTTGTTTGAATCATCATCTTTATCAAAAACATATATTGGGCATGTAGGGAAATGTTTCACATTGTCCCCTACGTCATAAATTCAGTTTGTCCTTAAATTCATCTTGAATGGTGTTGACTTAAATGTAGTTGACTTGAATCATCATCTCTTGGGAATGCAGGAACATTTCCATCAATCTCCCCCTCATTGCTTTCAAGTTTAGGTGTAGCTCCTTTGAAGGGAGGTGTGGTGTAAGCTTCATGGAGCGATTCACAATGGTGCGGTGGTTGTGGGATTGCTGAGGGAGGCCAAGGTGGCTCGCGGAGGGCTAGGGCTACCATGTGCGGCTTAGGCCAGTCGTGGCTAGTCATGTGATGGCGAATTTAGGGCGGAAATCGATGGGAATCGGTGAGGTGCACGATAAGAATGAGGGGGAGAGGAAATTAATGAGTCAAGAATGGGGCTAGTTTTTTTTTTTTGGGTGACGGAGAGTTAGCTTCTAATCACCCCACCCATAAACATTTTCGACAAATAAATTCGTCGGTAAGAAATTGTTAATTTACCGACGAATAAATCGATCGATAATACAAATTTATTTCACAACAAATATTCGTGAATATAGTTCGTCGATAAAAATTTATTTTTCAATCGATTTAAATTCGTCGGACAATTTTGGTCGGTAATTAACAATTTTCTGATAGTGTACAACACCATTTAAAAATAAAATAACTTTTATCCAAGACTTAAAAAGTTATTTAAAAAATATAACAAAATTATAGTAAAATGTTTTTACACGTTTATCCAAATTATACAAGCTTAAATTATTAAGTTTTGTAATATTACTTTATAGTATAATTTTTTTTTATGTTGTTATCTAATCATATACTTCCATATTCTAGAATGAATATAAAATTTAGAAACTGAAATTCTATTAATGAGAACAAATCATTAGGTGATATTATATGTCTCCATTAATCTCCATAAGACATGTAATCGATCATCATATTTTTAATGTATATTTAACACACACTATTATTCTAGCTAATTAAAAAATTTATATCTCAATTATATTAAGTTGACATCCTTTTATTTTTTATTTTTATACGTTTCGATTTTCTTTGTCATTACCATCTTTTGTCTTCCTCTACATTGAATTTTGATATACTTTTCTAAAAGAACATGTTATAGTTAAAAATAATTTTATATCAAAATTTATAAACATTGATCTATCAACAGTTCAAGAATTGAGGAAGTTCCAGGGAGCACAGTGTTTGTATGCAGAATTAAACTTATAGAATGTATATTATCGTAACTCTAATTAAAATATTTTTTTATTATCTTACACAAAACTTGAATAAAATTAAATAGATCATTAATTTTTTTTTCTATAGTATGATTGATTATCAAAATATAAATATTTGTCAAAATTTATAGTTGACGGCTATATATTTTTTATGTCTATCAGAAAACTATGACAACAGTAAAAAAAATTGAAATATTAATAACTTGTTGTAATAGAAATTTAGAATCAAATGGTTAAAGGACCGAATGTAAACATATGTTTTCATGTTTGAATTAATAAAAGAAGGAAGCAAATATAAAATGTAATAAAAAAATACTTTATAATTAAAACATCTTGAATACTTGATGACGGGTGATTATGTTGGAAGGGTTATATCATCCAACTTAATTAGAAAATGGTGTTTTTCTATAATCATGTTGTTGATAAAAAAAGTATTTAACTATTATTTGTTAATTACTTTTAATAAAAAAATCTATTCACATAAGATCCAAATGAGAGTAAAATATAAGTTTTTTTTATAGGATTCTGCAATCCAATCCAGATTAAATTAATATATATATATATATATATATATATATATATATATATTAAAATTTGATATTGTGTTGGTCAATTTTGAATTGGTCTAGTCATTGGTTTGAATAATAAATAAAACCGTGGATCTCAAAATTCATGCATGGCAATCCATAAAATGTTGATTCAATTCGGGCTTGAGAATAAGGTTGTTATGGAAAACTGGTTTTGCATAACAAATTTGCAGGCTAAGCCCATATCTAACTTTAAAGGTCCGAATGCATTTGTTCTCATAATATGAAGCCCGTGTCCAATAATTCATTGAGTGGGTTTGAGTCAAGGTAGTGGTAGGTTTTATTAGAAAATAATAATATTAATAATAATTCAAGCTTAGCTTGTACAAGTTTTTGGTAAAGTATGATGAAATCATGGTTAGATCATACCAAAAGATCCGTTTTTATTTTAAGTTCAAAAATTACAAAATCAAAACTTAAATTCCATCAATTAGGTTTAGGCATGGTCAATAATAAGCTTGGTCTGGTTTATAAACTATTATAGTGTGGATCTCTTAATTTGACTTTTTGTTTAATTATTTTATTAGTTTATGTTTTGTTTTTTGGTTGAATCCGTGTTTTGTTTTATGTAAATTCCATGGAAAGAAAGAGATTGGGACAAGAAGTTTAAGAAATGCAAAGAAGAGACTTCAAATGATTCCAAATATGTGAATATAAGGGAAAATACCGAGTTTAAAATAGAAAGGTTTCTTCCATTTTTTTTTCCAACCTATTGAATGTGGGTCAAGGAGATCCATACAAAATTTTGGCTGTATGTCAATCATTGCTCCTGTTATAATTTTGTTTGTTTTGCTACCGAAAATAACATCAAAATTTTTGATTAATGTTATAAATCATGTATTATTAATAAATAATAAATAAATATAAAAATATATTAAAAACAAGAGAATATATAAATTTTTTATTTAATAATTATAATTATATAAATAAATATATTTAATATTTTCTTTTAAGAACTTTCATCACTTATTATACGAGTTTGATATAATAAAAATAGTTTAAAAATAATTTATAAATCAATATTTTTACATATTGTTATTCAATTAAAAACAGCATATAAACTGCCTTTTTTTTATTTTTATAAAACTTCTCCTAAAAATCATATTAAATGTTGTGATTATTAAATGGCAGTGTAAAACTATTTTGCTGTATGAATGTATTATCATTGAACTCTTTCAAATATCAATTTTAAAGCAAAATGTATTAATATATATATATATATATATATATATATATATATATAATTCCGAGTATTTAAATTTTTTTATATCTATATCTCAAATGGGAGATTATTAGTTAAATTAAAACAAAAAACAATTTAAATGGTTGATATATGACTTGATTTTTTTCAGTTTTATATCATAAAATTTAAATATAATTCTGTTTTTTTTTATTAAAAAATAGTTAAATATATTATAATAAAATAATTATTGAATAAAAAATATATTATAAAAGCATAATACCTAATTAATTATGATATTTATATTTTGAATTTATTTTTATATTTAATAATAATAAATGTCTCAAATTATAAGAAAAAAACGAATTGGTTTACCATACATTTTATTATTTTATGATTTAATTTAAGTAGTATTATAATTTTTGTTGATTCGATTTGTGCTAATGTTAAACTGAAAATCAAATTTGTCGATTTTAAAATTTTTTAATAAAATAATTGAAAAATTATTCTTAATCAGTTTTTTCTCTTTTATGGATTTTCAATTTTATTTTTGCGTTCTTATTATTCTCTTGTCTATTTTACTATCTCTTGTCTATCATAGTTATTACTTTTATAGATTTCATTATATTAATTCAATTTTAACCCTCTTTTTTATTCTCTCACTAATTATCATTGTTATTGTTTTGTAAATTGATCATATACTATGCTATTTTAAATAAGACTAATTAATTGTTGAATCAAAAGTCTTAAGATTTCAGTGTAGTTAAATACTGACAAATAAATAGTGTATAAGAAAAACCTTTGAAACGAATCATTGTGTGTCTATTGGTGTTAGTTGGTGATAATGTTGGTAAATTCTTGGAGGGCATGATAGGAGAGAAAAACATTGAGATGAGTAGATTCCTAATTAACAACAATAAAGTAGTTGATTCGCTGTCGTTAGCATGTATTGTCCTCTTCTCTTCTCATAGGTTCTGTTCCTATGTACAATAATAATAAAAATATTCCTCCCAACTGGAACATCTGCGTTGAAACTACAACGAAACATTACAAGAGATTGAGCGAAAAAATATATATCCAGACAACCTATTACGTAAATTGTTGGAAGAGGAGAGAAGAAAGAAAACTGTGAATCAGACTTTAAGGTCGTGTGCTTTTTGACTCAGTAATCTTCTCGCCTTCGTTGCAAGTCGGAGTCATGAAAAACAATACAAGAGTTTGATTGAAGAAGAGTTGTTGCGGACACAAGGAAATCAGAGAGTGGAAAGCGAGATTAAAGGCTAAGAGATTGTACCTTGAGTAAAGAGAAAACTAGGTTCTCATATCATAAATTTTAGAAGTATTTAATAAATGCAACCCTAATATTTGAAGTATCTAAAATAAGGAGTATATCGTAGAACCATAGATGCCTAAAAGAAAAGTTACCTTTTGACGGCAAACACACCTGCAGATTAAACAATTAGATATCATGCATATACTATCGATGATACGTTGCTTTGCTTTAATTTGTTGGTGGTCATTGAATCAATGAACACACACAAAAAATTCACTCACATGCTCTATATAATTATTATTAAGTTATTCACTACTACAGAAAACACTTACTACGACAGCATCCAACGTCAGTTTTTATGAAGACCGACGTTGTACAAGACGCGGTGACAAACTTGTAATTAAGAAACAATATTTAACGTCTGCTATAACAAAACCGACGTAGTAATGGACAAATAACGTCTGTTAGATAACGACGACGTTAAATGTT